AAAATCTACTGGCACTAGGCACCATATCCTCCATAATATCCACTAGTAATCAGCCTCATAACTTTTAGCATCACATTTCTACTTCAATGTAACACGTGTCACTCATAAGTGCACATCCCTTCTCTTTCTCTCAGCAGGCCAAGCTTACCTGGATGGGTACCTTTCACTGGTTCAGTAGATCTAATCAGAGATCCTTGTTCCTTCTAACAAAATTTCCCTTAAATCTAAAAGGCAGTGTCTTCCTCTTCATAAAGAAATTACTGAAGTGACATAGAATCTCTTTAACTAAATTCTAACAAAATGTTTTTGGTCTGAACAAAATTAATCTGGTGCCCTCTGTTTTAAAAGAGTTGAAGTTGTTGACTGTTGTGACAACCTTCCTATCCCCCTCAGTCCACAAATCTGTGATGTGGGTGCTTTGCACTGCTAAAGAGCAAGACAAATGGTTTCACAAGATATTTTCACTGCCTCAAAATCCTCTTGAAGACCTGAAAGCTTACTGCTAATTTATCAGGATTCAAAATACCATCTGCCGAGTATTCTTTTTTTTTTCCTTTCAGGTAATCAGTCTGTACCATGGTGACATGTTTTTCTGCCCTCTAGTAATAGTCCCTGGAAAGGGGACCTCTTGTGCACCAGCATGCCAAGATTATTGCTCATTTATTTCTGAGTTTGGAGATGAAATCATGCTACCTTGACCCTGATGGTCAGGGTAACATTTTTATTGCTTTTTCTTTAGGTAATTGAAACCAATTTTCCTTTTCACTTAATCTTTTTACAACAATGTGTTCTTAAATAAATAAACAGAAGCTTTACCAAATGATGCTACCAGTTTATCAGAATCTAGGGACTAATCCAGAAAAGGTAAAAATCAATACATTTCAATAGAAAACTTGCATTCTCCATGGTATCTTATTACATATAATTAGCTGATACTGGAATTGAAAGAGAGTTAACAGTTGTCAGATAGAGCTTGAAATATTTTGAAATACTGTAGATCAAAGTTTGCTAACTTTGTGTAAAGTGGCACATGGAAATCAAGCAGATATAAAGCCAAAGACATGCCATGTGCCTTGGGGTCTATATTATAAACTGTAGCATTTTTTAAATGTTCTTGCTTTAAATAATATTGTGACATTTTGACCAGGTTAATCTTTTAAAAATAATGTTCTCCTGTCCAACTTTTATATATTCTCATTGTTCTAATGTTCATCCATGTTTATTGGGCTGAAAGAAAACTGGTTCCTTGTCCTGGTTTAGGGCAAATCTGGGAGGAAACATCCAAAGAGCTCCCTCTAGAAGGCAGATTCGAGTGACCCTTCCCCCTACTGGTTCAGGCAAAGATTTCCTTGGTGAAAAGTGGAAAAAACCAGTTTATTTAACTAGCAAAGTATTCTGGAAGTTCATTTTCTGAAAACAAACTCTGTGCTTCTTCTCCCCTCTTCTCTCTTGGAACCAGTCTTAAAGGTGCAGAACTTAATATCCAGCATGAACAGAACAGACAAGTGGGGATACAAGCATCATAAAGTCACTCTAGGACATTCCTCTTTGATCATTAAGAGGCACTCTGTCATAATTATAACCATCCTCTAGAAAATAAAAAAGGCACAGAAATTGACTTGACAGAGACAAAAGTGAAAGAATGATTTGAGCTTGCCAAACCTGTGGATAAGAAAGTACAAATAAATGTGATTTTTTTTACTCAGTAGGAAATTAGAATGAGTGAGTTCTTGAACACCCATGGGAGATTGGGAGGATAGCCTTGTGATCAGATGTTTTCTCTACAGTAGGTTGATAGTCTGCCTTCTAGGGTTCTCCACTTAGAATGAAAGAAGAGCACTGAATGCAGAAGGGGCAACTTAATGAATGCTGTGTGACTTTCTGTCACACCTCAAAACTGAGGTGTTTTATCTTTATATAGTGAAGTAAGAGTTGTCTGATAGAAGGGTGTGGATTATTTTTTTCCAGAAACATAAAGGTGCAGTGACAGAACCAGAGATGGAAGATATTCCTCTATTTTAAAAGCTGACTATGACAATGAAAAGGACCTTAATGATTACGCTTAGAAAATGTGAAAGTAAAAACTTATGTTGGCTATTTGTGTGTTATTCAGAAGGTTTTACTGATGTCTTCCACTCACCATGCTAGATTGTTAGGTCAATCATAAATTAATTCTTTTTTTAATATAGGTGTCGATTTCAGTTTTTCTCATTATTCTATTTTCCCTTGCATTGCCTTTACATGAAAGAAACAACAAATAAAACCACAAAGAAACAATCCATAACAATGTTTAATGACTGCTGGATTCTTATGTCATAATTTAGCCACTTTAATTACCTTAATTTTATCAAATTCAACTAAATGTTGGTTGGATTGATCTACATTTGTGCAACTGTCATCAGCATGAAAACTATTGCAATTAACATCAATATTCCATAACTGGTTCCCTTCCCCTTCCCCTTCCTTTCTGCCCCTTTCCTTCTTTTTCCATCCCTTTCCTTTCTTTTTCCTTCCCCATCCCCTTTCCTTTCCCTTTCCTTCCTCAAAACCTTTTTTAATAAGCTGATTTTCCAAAATTTGATGAAGAATATATTTAGTGATTTTTTTCCTTCTGTCAGCTGCATGAATTTAAGGCCTGAAGTAAAATTTTTCATTACAGACAAAACTGAGATCATTCAGTATGATTTAGACCAACCTCTCAGTTACAAAATGATTTCCATTTCCTTTTACCCTCTTTCTTGCAAGCTGCAGAAATCAATCTAACAATATAGCTGGAAGAAAAAAAATATTAAAACAGACACTTTCATTTTTATAACATTTCTTAATGTTATCCCATCTTACGTTTTCTATAAAATAAGTGAGGTTGTATTATGGATCAGTGGACCATCACTCCAGGCTAGCCCTCTTGTATGATCACAGATAATTTAAAGAGAATATATTTCTATAATGTCCTTTTAGTTTACAGCTTTTCAACCATGCAAAGCGGTTTGCTAGCAAATAAATAAATAAATGCATCCTTGACACATTTATAGTCTGGTGATGGTGAGGGCAAAAAAATTGTTTAAAGTCCAAGTAATCAGACTATTACCAGGATTAGGTGGAGAGGGGGAAGGGGCGCGCAGCAGTTTAAGCAGAGCGTGTTGGTAGGAGCGAGGGGGGACGCGTCCATCCTAGCGCTGTGCTCTGCTGCCACCTTGGCCGCGCCGCGGGACGTGCAGGTGGCTCCGCTCCGCGCCCGCGGAGCTCTCGCTGCGCACCTGCGGCAGCGCTCCCGCTCCTGCCTGCGAAACCTCCCTCGGCCAGGGCTGCTCACGGCCCCAGCCGCGTCACTGCGGTTACAAACTGGACAAGGATATGTGGGATGTCTAAAGGGTCAGTTTTGGGGGGAGTTTTGGGAAGGGGGGGTTGAGTGAGGCTGGTTGTTCTTCAAATGAGGTTCATTTGCCTGCTGCGCTTCAAATCGGAAATTGGAAATGTGGATGGGAGGAGAATATTTTTTTTTCCAGTCCTTTTGCTTACTGTAGGATTCATCTCCTCCCTTGTCCAGCCTTATCTTACACATCTAATGAAGAAAGCACTGAAATTCCCATTCATACACATCTACCTGCCTCTCCATCCTTCCTGCAGCATGACCACAGGGGCTCTGGAAGGACCGCCCGGAATACCAGCTGCAGTCAGAGGTCGTGTGTTTCCCCCTCCTTTTTTTTTTTTGGGGGGGGGGGGGGGGGGGGGGAAGGGGGTTGCGTGGGAGGGAGGGGATGAGGGCAGAGTAGGGTGACAGAAATATCATAATGCACTTTAAATATATATAAATGAGTACTAGGCAACCAATAGAGTTTGTTAATCTTGTTTCCCTGTGGTCTTGACGTTGTCTTGACATCGGGCTCTGGGCTGGTGGTACACACTTTGGAAAGCTTTCAAGCACTTCATTACTTAATTTCATCTTTGAATTGCACATGCTTTTCCCTCAGTTTTAAGATTTCTTGTGCTTAGGAGGAAACATGCTCTGACATGCTGGAGTTTGGTGGTGGCAAATATTTCCTTTGAGTACAAAGTGCATGTGTGAAAAAGGCTTTTTTTCCTTTCTTTCTTTCCTGAAAATATGTTTCTTTCTCACTTGCTCCTTTCTCTGTTGTAGTTAATAACCTGTAAAAGAGCTGATTCTGGAGATCTGAGTGAAATGGCACTTTTGGAATTGTGCTTTTAACCACACCACGCTGGGGAAAGTGCAGAAGCTCTCTATATGTGCGTATAAGAGGAAGTCGTGCCATGCAGATGAGTTTGCAGACACGGTGACAGAGGGGGACCGCAGGTGAGTCCCCAGCGATCTGCTTTGCCAAGAGGATTTTTCCAGCCCCTAATCACAGAAAAGCCCTCCATCTGCTCCCCAGAGTTGGCGGTTCTCATCTGTTTCAAGTGAAAATAACCAAGAATATAAAATGGCAGGTAAAAAAGAATGCCCAGCCAAGTAGCCGTGTTGTCCTGCATTCCCCCCAGCCAGCATTCCCCGGTTCCGGGGTCTCGGTCCCCGGGCGAGAGAAAGAGCTGCAAAGGGTTAAGCCGCTGACTTTCTTGCTAGGCAAAGTTTGAGGAAGAATATGTCTGAGGCTGGATACGCTGCAGCCCCGCGTTTGAAATCTGTCACCCTCACTTAGGAGCGCTGCATCTCTAGTTGTCACCGGTGAATAATGATCGCACGGCGATAAGATCGCTCGGCGGCGGTGCGCCGGGGCCGCCCGGGGGAAGAGAAGACAGGAAATTGCGAGGCGTTTAGCCGCTTCAACGGGGTGTTCTTCTGTGTCATCGGTGGGTGTCAGGGTCAAATGACCGGCTGGAGAGCAGTTTGGCAAGATAATTTCTTTCCTCCTTTCCTTGAGAGCAACCTTGGGTGTTGGTGACCATTGGCAGCTATGGAAAACAGAGACCTCGGTGGTGATCCTTAAAATTGTACCATGCTGGAGCCCAGCCGTGCTGCCACTTTCTCCCCTTTCAACCTGCCGGACCCGGTGGGCTTTGGGTGACCTACCGAGAAGGAACCCACTTCCGCAGGAGCAGGTAATGCCTGATTAAGTCGCTTTCTGGATTGACACAATCTTGATTTGACCAAAACGTGTCCTGAGTATCATTCACTGATTTGAAGTAGAGGCTGGTTGAGGGTCCAGGGACAGGGAGAGGAACAGGAATAATTCCGCCTAATCCCTCTGAGACTGCGGAGCAGGGCAACTGACTGCAACCTTGCAGAAGTTTTTAACATTCCCACTTTCCTCCCTCATTAGGGGCACAGAGGGCAGAAATACTTGTGATCGACAATGGCCAGCTCTGCCTCCTGTGCTGACGACAGGTTGCTAGTATCGGGGACGTGGAAAACAGAGGGACAGGTGGATTACACATGAGAAAGAGAGGTTTTTTCGCCAGAAAATTCACTGGCTGTCCATCAGTTCATGAAGGTGATATAAATCATACTCAAATGAGAACTCTGAAAAGTATGCAGGGGCTAAGGAAGAAAGAAAGAAAGATCTTAAAAAATAAAAAAAAAAAAAGTACCTAGCACATTAGCCTTTGTACTCTACAGGACTCCTGATCCTTTCATCCCTCGGGACCAGCTGGCAGCTGTGAGCAGTTTCGGCCACAGAGCAGCCCCTGGGGATGCGGGCTCTGACCGAGGGACTGACCGGTGTCACACCCTCTTCTTGCCGGCCGGCTGGGACCCGCGGAGGGCCCCGGGCTGCCTCCCCTCCGTCCTGGGGGCGTAAAGCAGGGAGGGAAGCGGGGTCTCGTCCTTAACTCCCTTCCTCTTGCTGAGTGCCCTGAGAAATGCTGGCTACCTGCGCTCCCCGTCCGTGCTCGCTCCCCACCCCCATCACTCCGCCTAGGTGAGGGAGGGCACGAGTCCCTCTCCGAGCGAGCAAGCGGCGCGGCTCAGCTCGGCTCGGCTCCGCTTCGGGCTGTCCGTACGCGGGGACTCTCCAGAGCCCCTCGGGGGGCAGGAGGTGGAGGGCAGGGCGAGTGCGGGGGCAGGAGCAGAGCCGAGCACACAGCGCTGGGCCGACCCTCGCCGGGCTCCTCGGTACGGCTTTATTGAGCCTTTGAAGTCGGGAGTGGTTTAGCCCCCCCAAGCGAAGGGCGAAGGAGGCGCGGAGCTAATAGCGAGTGATTCAGCTTATGAGGTACGGCCGAGCACATAGAACCACTGAGCAGCCAGGGGTGAGGGGGAAGCCAACCCCGAGGCATTTCGGTTCCCTTTTCTGTTTCCTCGACACATGGCATTGATCAGCTCCCTCTCCTCCATCCCTCCTCAGCCCGTTTCTTAAAGTAACTCGCAGCAAAAGCTGTGCTGTGCGTTTTCTTTACTGAGAAATGTAGGAGTTTGAGACAAATTCTCTTCGCACACCCCACGTCCTACCTTGACGGCTGTATCCTATCGCTCAAGTGCTTCTCGGTATTAAATAGCTTTGTGTTTAAGTGGACTTTCCAGGACAAGGCAGTAGCCTACTAGGGAGCTGGACGGCGGGGGAAGGGTTACTCTGAAACAAGCGCAGACAGCCCGGCATGCAAACACACACACACACACACACACACACACACACTCTCATATGTACACACACTGAATGTGTACAGGAGAAATAGGAGGGTGGAGGGGAGTGGGTGTTGTTACCGCTTTAGGGCAAAAGACGGTTTCTCCAGAGGTTTTTAAGTCTTTATGGCTGATGATGAAAATCAGACAGAATACTAGACGAGGTCCGTCTCTTCCCTGAGGGTTGGAGATTCTTTTATTCTGTGTTATATTTGTTGAATACTGGTGCTGTGTATCTAAAAGTTCGCAAGGGAGGAAGGAGAGGAAAAGAAGGGGGTGGGGGAGGCGGGCTTGTCGGCGGCTGCACATGAAATATCGCCATGTTGGTGGAGAGCACGGCTGTAATTATTGCTAGCGAGGGCATCTCCCAGAACCGCCGCTCGGGGAGTTTCTCAGCTCACTTCCCGGCTTCCCTTCCGATACGCTCCGATACACTCGGAGAGTCCCCGGAGCAGCGGCGCGGGGCAGTCCCGCCGCCAAGGACGCGGTGCGCGCACCCTCCTCTCCCGCAGCGCGGCCCCGGCGGTGAGGCAGGGCGGGGAGCGGGGTCTCCGCAGCCCGAACATCCCCCGGCAGCGCCGCCCGCTTGGTTCCCACTGCTGAAAGCGGGGGAGCCCAAACAGATGTAGCTGGCTAAATTGTCCTCAGCAACCTAGGGGTTAAAAGCAGCCGGGGGGGGGGGGGGGCGCGGGGGGGACGGGGAGGGAAATAAGGAAAGAAGAAAAAGAGAAAATCTAGCCTGACTTTGCCTCTTGGAAAGCTTTAGGTTGCAGCCCTGCCTTCCAAGCATTCTTTAAAGTAGAAATGTGGGAGGGACTCCAGGAGAGAGAGAGATGGCTATCAACTGAATTCATTACTGTAAACATCTCCCTGGGGTGTCAGGCAGGGAGGAAAAAAAGGCACGACTTACATTAGCAGGGAATAGTGAGATGTGAGGCATCACTACTGCTAAGATCATCCTGCAATCCCGGCTGGAGGCAGGCGCAGGACTTGGAGAGAGCCAGACACACGCTCACAAATATACTCACATACATGTGTCCGATGCCTTCTCCGACTTACGAGGGTCCTGGGTCGCCGATCCTACTCCTCATGTGATCTTTTCATCATTTCCAGAGGATAGAAAGAGACAAAAAAAAAAAAAAAAAAGGGCAAACAACCAAAAAATCCAGAAAGAAAGAAACCCCAAGACCAAGCGTAGCCGCGGTCCCCTCTCGTTTATTTTTTTACCGGAGAAGGAGGAACGGCGGGGGAAAGAGAGAGCGAATCGAGGAGAGAAAGTGCGTTGGGAATGCCAGAGCCGTGGGCTGCGCGCCGGAGGAGGAGGTGGCGGAGCAGGGGGTAGGACGATGCCGCCGCCTCGTAAGGGCGGAGGAAGGCGCGGGAGGCGCGGGGGTCGCTCGGAGCGGCGGCGGCCGGCGGGGAACGGGCCCGCGGGGCCGGCCGGGAGCGGCGCCGGGCGGAGGGCGGCGGCGGCCACCACCGAGGAGCGGCGGCGGCAAAGTTTTGGTGTGGGGGGCCAGAGGCGCGGAGGGGGATTACGATCCGTGCCGGCGAGGGATTCCCAGACACCGCCAGGTACAGTTGGGATTTCATTTCTTACTCTTTTCCTTTCTGGTAATTCTAGCCCCGGGCGATCTAAAGCCGCGGTGCCCTTTGCCTGCTCCCAGATGGCAAAGTTGCGGAGCCGGGATCAGGCTGTGTCAGAAATACCGCCTTGGCCACGTTAGAGCCCCACGTCCCCGGCGCCGGGCACGCACAAGTAGGATTTATGAATGGCCGGCGGCAAGTGCGAGCAGGGTCCCCGGGCTGCTTTGCGCCAGCGTGTGGCTCGGGAGCGGCACTCGGAGCTGGCAGCTGCAGCCAGGTCCCGGGTGCCCGGTCGCGTTTCACCGCCGAGCTGGGAGGGTGCCGAGCCTGGCCCCCACCCCGTGGGGAGGAGAGAGCCGAGCACTACCCCTGCGGCAGGGGCACCGGCAGAGCGCCCCTGTGAGCACCACCAGCGGCTCTGTTTGGGAGGTGGCTCGGGGAAACGGGACCTTTAGAGGTGAGCCTTGCTTGGGAGAGGTAGTCGGCTTAGTTCGGCGCTGCCGAGTGTTCAGGAATCTGCGGGGAGAGTCGGGAGCTGCGCCCGGCAGGAGGATCCACCAGATCCCCATCAGCAGCCTCCGGAGCGGGGCTGGCGGTGAGTGGGTGGGGGAGAGGTTAAGGGAATCGGATCGAGATTCGGAATACAAAGGAGCCGCTCAGAGACCCGACGAGTTAGACGGAGATCTGACAAAATAAGAATAACTACTACGGGGGGGCTGGGTGCGTGGGGATAGTGCGTGAACAAGAAATAGCAGATGGCAAAAGGAAGTCAAGCAGCTGAAAAGACCCCTCTTGAATATGATATAAAACCCCATAAAAGATAAATAAACAATCATTAAAGTTAGGAGAATAAGATTCTCCACCTTCTTTTCAGAGTGGGAAGCAGTCAACAGGAGCTTTTAATTAATTTTAATGGAGGAAATCTGTTTTAGGGCTTACAATAAGCTAATAAATCCAAGGCACAAATCCGTGTAAATTCCTGCACTGTATGTGGAAGGTACTGATTGTATTTCTTCAGATACTGCCTTTTGCAATGCAGCGTTCAGCCAAATGGAAAGGGAGAGGTTCCTTACACGAGGAGCAGGAAAAGATACTAAAAGCAAGTCAGACCTCTTCCTCTCTACCTCCCTCTCCCTCTCTCGTTCCTTCCCTCTCCCTCTACCCCCACCTCTCTCTCTGAAAGTGAGCGTGTGTGTTAAAGAGAGGTTTATTTACTGTAACTAACTTTACAGTGCTTGCAGGGAAATTAAGCCAGTTTAGAGGTTGAGATTGATCAGTTCTTGGATTTAATAAACCCAACTAACCATACAAAAACCCCCACAAATTTCCATGGACTAAATTCCTTGCTGCATTCACTGACATGGTCTTTCTCCAAAAAAAGACCTTTACATATTTGTAGTTTGAGACAAAGCTAATGAATTAATTTTTGATATATGTATTTTTGGAAGGAGAAAAGTTCATCCTGGCTTTTTTTTCAAAACTCTTTTAAGGTACTGTACCTATATCTCTATTCACCTTTCTGTCCTTTTTTCTTTGAAAGAGTCAATATATGCAATGTTATCACAGAGATATAAACTTTGCATAATGAAAAAGATCTAAACATTGTACGATAAAAAAGATATAAAAGAGGTGAGTTTAAAGTCATTATTTCTATGTGACAAAAGTGATGTCAGAATGTGAGTGTTGATCTTGTTTCTGAAAATTATGTGAGGAGAGATTTCAAGAGGCTGTTTCAATGGTTGTTCTGTGTGCTGATATGGTAGCGAGGCAGTTAAGAGAGTCCAGGCCTGGAGTACTGTAGGTAAAACAAGTCAGAGCACTGTGCAAATACAGTGTCTATAAAACTACCTGTGACTAGAACAGTCATCAGTGTTTTCCAAAGTCCAAGGCTTTA